GTTGTTTCCTGCAGCCCTACCAAGCTGGCACCATTTGTAGCAGTAATCACTATTATTTCTTATAGTTCTTTTAACCAATGTTTAAAAAGACGTGTATTTCCTTAACTGATCAGTTCTTGATTGGCTGAATCATCCAGAAAAACTAAACTGTACTGTAAATTGCAAAAAGCATAACTTTACATAAGGAACACTACCTGGTAAATCAAATAGGGAACCAGAAGGACAGTCTAAGAAAAGAAGCCAAACTACAGCTCAAAAAAAAAAATTATGAACGAATCTATTCACTCTTGAAGTATGTGTACACGTGCGTGCATGTATGCATGTGTGGACACCCTTTAAATGCAAGGACTAACACTACAACAAGGTATTCCATCTTTGAGCATACAGACTCTGCCTTTCTCACTTATACTTAAAGGTCTACCAAACTTAAGGTGGCTGCCAGCTGATTTCTCAGGCAGACCACAGGGCTGGCAGCATTTTCATGGGTGGAGTGTGGCAGACCTCATAGCAGTCACAAGGACTAGAGAGAAAGCCAGCATTTTATTTTCAGTAAGGTGTTTCTCCCCCCAAGGGAGCCCACCCAAAGCATGGAGACAACCACAAAAATCATGAAATTGCCATTTCATTAGGGCCCTACTCATACTTCAAGGCCTGTTGTTAGTATGTGCTGTTGTATGTGTGGTACGGCAGTCTTTAAAACTAGAGCACTAAAGGCTGTGTGACTGCTGGTTGCCAAACTGGGAAGTAGGAATGATTCAGATGAACTCCACCCCGCCCCCACACACACCCTTTTTTTTTTTTTTTTTGGCTTTTCTTTGGAAAAAATAGAACAACAACAAACAGGAAAGACTGAGACCTTTTACCCCAGCCTACCCTCCCCTCACAAGAGCAGTGTAACAAGGGGAGGCAAATGAAACACCAATCCACACACCAACTTAGAAGAGCTGGCAAAATGGCATCCCCCTTCTCCCCTCCCCAGAGTCTGTCACAACAGGTAAAGCCCTCTGCCCAGTATTATTTCATAGGGACAAATGGGGCCACCAGGGGCAGTCTCCAGAGACCCTGGCACCACAAAGGTGCTGCACCCAGTATGTGGCAAGCCCATGCCCCAGCTGCAGCAGCCCAAGCCCACACAGCTACAGCAAGAGCTAGACAATCACCTTGCTGGTGTTGTTTGACCCCAGTGCTCTTCCTGCCATGGCAGGGGGTTGGACTTGATAATCTGCTCAGGTCCCTTCTGACCCTACTAACTATGAAACTAAGAGCCACAGCAACAGCAGCTACTGCAAAACTGCAGACATGGGACATAAGACTCCTCCCCTCCACCCCCACTCTCCATCAGTCGGCATAATCCCCCACATTTGCCCAGGGCACTGGAGACGCTCACTATGCCTCTGGCCCAGGTTACTATAGCAGTAGCTCTCAATCTTGTTAAACTCAGGGCACCCCTCAGATAATACCAGCTCTTTGTTTTCACTCATTTTCTGGCCTTGGAAACAATAATAAGGCAATTCCTCCATTGCAAAGAATGAAGATCAGAAAGACCACAACAGGCCAGAATGCTTTTGATAATATGGATTCCTATTTGAACCTTTGGGTTTATCTTGTGAATCCTGTGTAGGTGTTTTCCACACACCCTTAAAAAGTTCTCCAGTGCCCTGGTTAAGAAACACTGGTCTATAGCCTGTTGGTTAAGGCAGTGTCCTAGAAGGGGGTGGGTGGCTGTAAGTTAAAATACCCTTCAGCAGAAGGAGGTGGAAGATGTGGGGTTTAAATCCCATCTCACAGAGGAAGCAATGTAAACCAGCTCTTGCATATCCTTCATTGAGTGCTGCAATCACTGAGATGTGACACTGCAACAAGTAGGGTAGTTTTAAACTGTAGCTCATATTTTTTCTAGTTAAAATTATTCTATGAATTTGACCCAAATTCACAAGTAGCTTCAGAATGAGCTAAACTACATTTTTGATAAATTTACATGTATAAAAATAAATAAGTCTCCCTGGTTTACCCTTAACCTATAAGAAAGATAAACAAAATTACCTCTTTGATTATTCTAAAGTCATTACTGATCTAGAAGCGGTATTAATAGCACTCAAACCCCAGCATATGATTTCTCTCATAAAAAAAAATATTATTCTTCTGTATTTCTGTTCAGTACTACTGTATATTCACAGCCCTGTCTCTAGCATCATGTTTTGTTCACTGCAGATTATATTCAATCATTTATTGTTGAATATGAATTCCTTGTAGACTTTCTGATTAGAAAAAGGTGAATGATATGTAAATAGGATAACACATCATTGCAAAGATGAGGACCACTTAGGAGCAAAGTATAGGTCCTTCCTACACCTATGAACTCCCTGAAAATTAATGGATAACATTTGCAATAAAGACTGAATATACTGACTGAAGACACACAATTAAGAAGGTTCACAAGTAATACATATTCTAAAAATTACTTATTCTATCTTAAATATATTACAAAGTTCTCTAGAAGGCAAAGGAAAAGGTAGTTAGAGAAATAAATGAAAATTACTGTGCAACAGAACAGGCCAGAATGTTTCGTAATTATAGTAAAAGCTTTTCTTAGACTGAATTAATCTAATCTGCAGGCATTGAACTAACATTGGAAGGACTGGGACTGGGACTAGGATTTTCTTTGTCCTGTTAGGCTAAAAATGTTTTATAAAAGGACAAGCCTATTTCTCTGTGACAGCAGAGGCAAGCTATTATTTGCAAAGTAATAAACTCCTTAGGGCAAGAAACAGAGAGCATTCTTTCAGAACCCCTGAAGGTACCACAACTTAATTGTTCCTTATTTGGTTACAACCATGAAAAAACGGTCTTTTATTTCCCCCTCTCTATCACAAATTATTGATTCTGTAATTTATGGGCTAACCCCTGCAAGAAATGGAAAAAACTGAAGTCAGTGGAACTACTATTCGTGCAGTTAAGACAGAAAAATTGCATGCACAAATATAGAAAAAATTGGCCAGGCTTCAATACTGCAGAGAAAGGGGTATAGTGGACCTAAGGGTGATAGCAGACCATGAGTTGAACATGTGCCAACAGATGCTATTGCTCCAAAATAGCCAACAGCCTTCTGGGTTGCATTAATAGGAGTCTCACTTGCAAATAAAAGGGAACAATTCTACTTCTGTTCTGCACTGGTAAGGCCTCACCTGGATTAGTGTGTTCAGACTGCAAGAAAGATGTGCACAGATCAGAAAGGGTGCAGTAGAAGGGTGTAGCAACAAAAATTATTAGAGGTCTGGGAAACACAACTTGTGAATAGGGGTATACCCAATTTGAGGAGGCAGCTGGCCAATTTTGTAGACAGATCCCAGGGCCAGCTGCCATTTTTGAGGTCCTGTCGTGGCCCAGGCCCCACAACACCTATTGGCTAAGGGCTGCTGGTATCCCCACCCCCTCCCACTGGGCTTCCTGTGTGGTCAGGACTGCTGGATCCTACTAAAAATTTTATTTTTAATAAGGTTTTTTTCCCCTGTAGATTTCATGGAGATCGCCTGATTTTGTGATATCCGCCCTATTGCAATTTAGGTAGGTCCCTACTTATGAAGAAAGGCTGAAAAGGAGGTTTTTAGTCTGAAAAAGAGAAAAAACAGACTATTCTCTTTGGTCATACTATAGTATTAGAAGCAATGGCCTCAAACTTCAGAAGAGAAAGTTGAGGCTGGAGATTAGAGGAACTCTCTGACTCTGAGGGTGGTCAAGTATTGGAACAGGCTGCTTAGGAAACTTGGAATCTCCATCCCTGGGTATTTTCAAGAACAGGTTGAACAGGCAATTGATTGGGATGGTTTAGTTAGGGATGATCCTGCCTTGAGTAGGGAGCTGGACTAGATAACCTCATGGAGGCTCCTTCCAGCCTATTTATTTCCCTATGCTTCTACTCACATGCTTAGAGGCAAGTACATAGGTAGTACTTTGTTTAGCAGACTCCAGCACATTAAGGGTTCAGTTCTTAAAAATCAAAGTATTAATTTCTCTTTAGTTGAATGGCCATGTTCAAGCTTGTGATGTTTTAATTCATGAAATAACCATGTGTTGGTTATATTCTTGACCCGAGGAACAGCAAAATCAGCCTTACTGAGGGTAAAGGCAGTAAAGCTGTTTGAATATTTCCAAACATCACTGTCTACATGTGTGGTGCTATTAGGCCACAGTAAACTAATTAACTCCACCACAGGATAATACTGCCTGACACACATACTATTCTGTGGCAGAGTTTAGGGTGTTGCAATGCACATGTAGACTGTGACTGGGGCTGGCTAGGACACAAAGGTGCTACAGTGTGGGGCTGCCTACCAGCTAGCCCCACACAGTAGCACCCTCATGCTCCAGCCAGCCCCTCTGCAGCATGCTGAGCCTGGGCACAGCAACTCTGGCCTGGCCAACTGACCCCCTGGACCTCTTGCCAGCCATGACTCTGCCACCCCAGCTCAAGATGCTGTGGTCCCAGAAGCATGTATAAACACTGTGCCTGGGAGCAATAAACTCTGGTGCAAACTGTGCAAGAGTTTATTCAAAAGCATTAATATCACATGTAGATGCACTCACTAGGATTTAGAGGTGTGATGTCAAATCAAGGTCACTTCAGCTCAATCTAACGAACATCTTCTAAGCTCCTGCTTACCTCAGAAGAGATGTATGATTTTACAAAAGGAGCATACAGAATCCAAGCACAAATGGGGCAAGCTGTCATTCTCTTGGATGCAGCTTATTGAGGTGAATAAAGCTATCCAATATCCCAGTAAAATAAACAGTAGGCTAATTATTTACCTTTATTTACCCTTAGTATAACTGTTCTCAGGTGTGAAGCTACACCATTAATACCTCTTCCCTCCTATCCATGACTCCTTCCAGAGCCAGAACCATGGTTTCACTCCAGTTACTATTCTCACTAGGACTTGGGTCCTTCTCCACAACATAATCATTTTTCAATAAAATCAGTAGGTTTGATGTGATGACCTTACCGCAGATGTGAGGCGAGCAAGGATTTCAGCTTCCGTTTCTGCAGCATCTTCTATTTTTTGATCAGGCCTTAAAAAAAAAAAAAAAACAAAAACCACTTATTATATAGTTTT